TTCCCGGTGCCTGCCGGCACCCCAGCCCCAGCTCAGAGGACCGGGACAGGCCGTGCCCGGTGCCCCCGTGCCAAGGGTCTCCTGGAGGCCCCAGCTGCAGCCAATACTCGCCGCGCAGCCCAGCACCTGCCGGCCCCATGGTCCCAGCCTTGGGCCCTGGGGCGGATGGGGGCAGGCTGGGTGAGGAGATGGGGAAAGGGGCACTGCCCAGTGCCAGGCTGTGTGTCCTGTGCCCCGTACGGCTGGCAAGGAGGGAGATTCTCCACCCCACTGCTAGTGGCTCTGGCTGAACCCTGCTGGCGCCAGGACCCAGCCCCAGCACCCAGGCTCGCTGTGCCCGCGCAGTGCCCGGCTCTGGCCTGTGCCTGAGCCCAAAGCTGGGGCCCAGAGGACAGGCTGGGCTGGACACAGAGCCGGGGGCCCCGTGACAGCAGGCCCTTCCCCCCACGAGCTCCCACGCTGGCAGCCGGGAGCCCCGGCCCCACGTTCCCAGCCGACCGCGGCTCTGAGTCATGGCCTGCAGCTGCCAAGAGCTGAGGGAGCCGGTGGGCCACGGGGCTGGGGGATGTGGGCACCTGGCTGCAGCCTGGTCCCCCATCACCACTCTGAGCAGCCCCGAGCCCCCTGCCAGGGCCGGGACCAGAGACTCTCCCGTTGCAGTACAGGGGCCATGACACACCTGGCAGAAGGTCCCACTGCAGGATGGGCCGGTGGCTCTGGCCTGAGCAGCTCAAGGGTGGCCTGGGGGGTGGGGTGGAGGGGGCAGATGGACCCCCCAGTGCTGGAGCTGGGGCAGGCCAGGGCAGAGGGGGCCCTGGGGCGGGTGCGGTGCAGCAGCTTGTTCCCCTGAGTCAGCAGGTCCCGGCTCTTCCCGGGGCCTGGAGCAGAGTCAAGCCCCTGCCACAGCCGGAGCCCGGGGCGGCCCAGCCCGCCTGCAGGAGCTCTGCAGCTGGATCTTAAAGGAGCAGCAGGGCTGGCAATGGGGCATGGAGAGAGCTCCCAGCGCCAGCAGGATCAGCCCCCCTCCCTCTGTAGCCCCCAGCCCTGGTGCTTGAGCTGGAGGAGACTCGCCTTCAGCGCCAAGCAGTATGGGGCCTCTGACACATGACCGGCTGGCTCACCCCTCACTCCCGACCTGTGGCCCCCTGCCCCCCAGCCCTGCTGTGCCCCTCACTCCTGATCTGCAGCCCCCTGCCCCGCTTCAGTGCTGGTGGTGCCCCTCACTCCCAACCCCCAGCCCTGTCACAGCCCCCTATGAGTCCAGCCCCGGGTGCCCCCCACCAGCTGTCCCCCTGGCACCAGGGGATGGGTCCACCCTGAGGGAGGGTTCCCCTGCCCTGGACCTGGGGGGATGTGGGAGGCAGATGTGGGGCCTGAGGAGCTGCACCGGTGCAGGTTGCTGTGCTTCCCCAGCGGGACAGACTCTTCCAGCCCCTGCTGGGCCCTCCCTGGGGGCAGTTCCCAGCCCGATGTCCCCGGCAGCAGCCGCCCTGGTCAGGCTGCAAGCTTTGCCCCCAGCCCTGTGCATGCGGGCAGGGGGCACTGTCACAGCCTCGGCTCCCCGTGCTGCCTGGCAGGGCTCCTGGCACAGGTGGGTGGAGCGGGGCAGAGGACCCAGGTGTCCTGGTGCCCCGCCTGTGGGGGTCCAGCCAGGAGGCTCCCATCTGCATGTGAATGAGTGGGCGGGGCCTGTTGTGACATCAGAGGCAGCCCAGACTCCCAGCAGACCCTGGTGGCCTGGGTGTGGGGGATGGGCTGCTGTCTTGGTGGGGCTGGGTCAGCTCAGAGCAGGGTCGGTGTCAGGGGTCAAGGACCAGGGGCCTGACCTAACCTCACCTGTGCCCATGCCAGGACCTGGGGATGCCAGCTGGGGAGGGAGCTTGGGGCCGGGGCGCGGGTGAGAGCCCCCCCAACGGGCAGCTGCCCCCGGGCGCAGGGCAGGTGCTGGACGCGCTGGTGCTGCTGGCTGCACTGCTGGGCCTGGCCCACGCGGCTGCCCGCCTCTCCTGCCTCTTCCTCCTGCTGCCCCTCGCCTTCTCCTGCTCCCACCTAGCTGGCAGGTAGGGGCGGGCACAGGGCAGGCGGTTGGGGCCCTGCAGTCATGACTCTGGTGCCAGCTCCCTGGCTCGTGCATATCAGCCACTGGCTATTGGCCTGCTGCCTCGGTGCCCGGCAGATGCCCATCACGGAGGGGCAGGTGCATGCCCCCTGCCCCTCTCCCTGCTGCCACACTCGGGGCAAGTTCCCACCTGACTGGCTGGGAACACACTGTCCTGGGTGGTGGGAGGGAGGGAGAGAGGGGAGCACCTCCTGGGTTCGCACCCCCGTGTGTGGCCTGTGGAAATGCCCGAGGCCCCCGAGCCGCAACCGTGTGTGCCCGTGTGCTCCTGCATGCCCTTGTTCCCTGCAGGGGATGCCCGGCGACGCGGCAGCAGCGGGAGCGCGGGGCGGGAGAGTGGCCCCAGGGCCGGGCACCACGGCTGCTAGGCATGGTCCCCGACGTGCTGCTGCCCCTGGCGGGTGCCTACACCCTGGCACGCCTGGGGGGCCCCGTCCTCCTCGTCCTGCCCCTGCTCTGTTTCCTGGTGGCCCCCCGGGGCTGAGCAGCTGGGGCAACAACAGAGACTGCCACGAGCATGGCCTGGCACGTGGCTTCCTCCTATGTGGCATCAGCGGCCTGGAGGTAAGGGGGGTCGCAGCCCCAGGGACGCCTCCACTCATCCCAGACATCGTGGGCAAATTTGGGACTGCTGCCCGCGGAGCCCAGACGTGCCTTGTGACAGCACAGGTGAATGCACGTGGAAATACCACCATGCATGCACAAGTGAATGCGCATGCAAACATTGCCATGCATGCACATGTGAGGGCACATGCAACAACCATAACACATGCCCATGTCAATGCACATGCAAATGCTGTCATGCATGCACACATGAGGGCCCATGCAAATGCCCTGCTGCACAGCACAGGCAGGGGGGAGAGCTGGCATCACCTCCCCCTTGGCTCAGCGGTGTGGTGGCCATGTTGACTGAGGGCAGTCTGGCTCCAGCCCCCCTCAAAGTAATGGCAGACGGTGGCCCCTGGCAAGAAGGGGGAAAAGTCCTGCAGCCTGGATGGGTGTTGTGGGGTGCTGGATCCCTGCTCGATGGGGGACTGAGCCCATGACCCAGCACAGCATAGGGGCATGGGGGGGCTGCGGATCCCTACTGCAGTGTCCCCCCAGGCAGCTCTGACACTGGGATGGGCCGGGTACCACTGCCTCTATCACAATGGGTCGGAGCTTAGGGGGGCTCAGGTCTGAGGCTGCCCTGGGGGGGGCTGTTGCTGGAGAGGGGGTGTCTGG